AGCTGTTGTTGTGATTTGGTGCTATATAAATAAAATAAAATTGAACTGAACTGATACTGATTGAATTAACCATCGATGGACAACAGATAACTGAAAAAGCAGTTTATTGTTATCTGTTGTCCAGCTGGCACTCAGAGTTTTGATTTGATTTTTGTGACTGATTTAGTGTTCAGAAAAAATAATTGTAATGGGTGATTTTAAGATAACATACGATAAGTATGCTGTCCTCGCCCTGAGTCTCTTAGTTTCACCAGCTAGACAGCGAAATAACGATGCTCCAATAACCAGACTTATTTTCCTTTTGGCGCTGATTTATTGAAGAATGGCCTCTGACCATTGCCTTCTCTTTGACCATCGTAAAACTGAAAGTACAAAATACTGTATTAGCTAACTAACATTGTAAACTAGCTTGTTACACTCTTACTGCAAGCTAACAAGATAAAACTTTCAAATGTACAAATTATCAAACCATTTTTACACAAAACAAATGATAATAATTATTTTATCAACACTCATACTTACAGACATATCTTGTCCAAGGCAACAACATTTTAAGGTCCGTATCAGCTTAGAACGATAACATTACGGTATCACTTTCCGCCATCTTTGATTTCTTCTTCACGTTCTCATTTTTCCCTTCCCAAAGTAACCGAACCTATATTACAAAGCAGCCACTAGAGGGAGCTCTAGGGCAGTTTACAACTATAATATCCAATTTAAGTTTTAAAAGGCAGAACAATAAGATTAATTATTATTGTAGGCTCAAGCACTGGAAAATTTGGTATATATAAACATAAGCAGTCATACTATAAAAATGAAAGATTGAAGAAAATATCCTTTATTTTATTTGTCCATTCCACTATATATGAATGCATTGTTGAAGGATAGAGGTACATGGATATAATTATAAACATGACATGTTTGAAGCAGTCACCAGCTCACCATTGAAGCTGTTAATCTGGGCCAATCAGGAACCTGATAGTCAGCACCTGCAGTACCAGAAGCTCAAAATCAAGAGTCAATAACAGAATAAGCTGTTGGGCATTGGCTGAGAAGATTTGGTGGCAGTTTTTTCAGGGGTGCAATTCACATACACAACTCTACTATTTAAAGAGATCTTAGGGATGTAAAGGGAAATAAACTGAGTTTCCAGCAGTACTCTACGATTTATTGAAAAGAAGGATTGTTACAACAAAGAAATAATCAACCAAACAAACATTTCCTTACTTTTTATGTTAAGTTTAGATGTTATAATGTTATTAATTGCATCATAATGTCTGAAAGAAATGTTAAATGTCAAAGAAAGTTTCTAATGAGCTGCAGGCTGAAGTGAGACGGAGACGTGTACTGTATTTACACACACTCTATGTTTTTATTCCGTCAGACTGTCCCCTGTGAGCCGTACGGGCTCTGAACTATTGTGCAGTTTTTGTGTAGACACACTCCTGCCCCTCAGGACACACGCACACACACATGCAAGACTGATGAAAGACGGAGACACCAAAGAATTAGACGGGGAAAAGTCTTGGGTAGTATTTGTGAGATTTTATGTGTTTATTCATATAAACTGACATTTAGTCATACATGTGCACACACAAATGAATATTTAGACAGCAAAATAATCAAAAGCATTTTTGGTTTTGTTGAACATAATGCCAGTTATCACCTTTACATGCACACCAGTTTACTGCTCGTGTTGGCATCTTTTTGTTTTAGACTAACACACACAACACAAAACCCTGCAGACAGCCTGGTTATAATATAATGAACTAAATAACAATTTATTGACATTTCCAATGCTTAATAAGTGTTAAGTGTCTAAACATTACATTGATCAACAGATATCACAATCGGGGGCCAATGAGAA